TTTGAAGTTTGAGAGCAAGCGTGCAGACGTTCGTAGCTAAGTAGATTATAAGGATGCTTGCTCACAGTTAGTTGCCTACAAAACAACTGCGTTAGCAATTGACATTTGAGATTTGAGAGGATTGCACTGCTATTTAATAAACTATATAAACCATCATATAAAAATATCAGATTTGTATCAGATAGTAGAAATATATGTTAGCTGCAAATAAATAAATGTTGACAAATAAAATTCTGCAATTCATATAAATAGCACAAGTAACTGCAATAAATAATTTTACCAAAATGTGCTAAAATTGCACAAGCTGCCTTGTTTATCATATCTTGCAATTAAACATAGTAAGATCATAAGACCTGTTGTTTTATACGGCAATACGTTTCAGTAAATGATTTAACTATTGTGAATCATTGTGCAGTTTCTAATGACCTGCATTCCTAATAAAGTTCAGTTACATGGTTTAATTAAAACGTTCTCGTTTTGTATTGTTGGTTTTTTCTTTATGCTTGATTGATAAATAATTCATCTCACAATTTAGTTGTCATATTACTAATGCAGTAATCATATAAACACCATGTTATTGGATAAAAATAGGCAAGCAGAAGCGTTTGAAACTTTATTTATACCTGTAATTTAAAATGTCATGAAATTCTTATGCAATTGTATATTAACACCCAAAAGTTATGATCGACGTTCTTTAATGAATAATTATATTTTAACAGGCGCCCATGCTATGAATACAGACGGTAATGATATCACCCAATATGGTGTATCCAAAGAATATCCAAAGGAGTTGAGTGCTCTCTCAGCATGCTTCTGGATGTCCAATCCGGCTGAATACGTACGAAAATATCATCCTACACCGTTGTCTTACAAAGTGACAGGCGCACCCAATGGAAATACTTCTATGCTGAATATGCAACCCCTTCTTATTTTCTATATAAGGGGCAGCAAGCACATGTAAGTTGGACATGGTTCAATATGTTTTCTTTCAACAAATTTATTACGTCGAATGATTTAGCACCGAAATACTTGTTGACATAAATTTTCTAAGCCCTCATATACAAAACATCTATTGCTGACAATTCTCAGGTGTTGATAAATTTGCTACAGTATTTATTACCAGTCGAAAAGGATTGTTTACAACATCACTTGACTTACTTGCATTGCTTAAACTGCTTAGAAATTCGTCCGCCATTTTTTTGAATTTTTATTTTGTGACTGTCGGGGCCCCAGGCATCATATTTTTTAATCTAGACCTCGGTGTGCGGATCTTATAATTTTTTTTACTATTAAAAAGCCTGTTTATCAATAGAGTACAGCGTGAATAGAGAAAAACAGACTAGCACAATGTGATGGTGAAAAGCCAAAAAGGTTTAAAACAAAAAAGCTTAGAAATTCTTGATGAATGAGCTCAAAGTTGCTAAAAAATAGGCTAATTTTAGCAAACGTTTTTCTGTTTCAAAGTTTCTAGTTTTTAAAAAGTTTGCTAAAAGTCTAGCAAGTTACCAAGCACAATATGTTTGTTCCTACACTTAACGGTAAGAGTTTCATTACCGTTTGGAAAAACTTTTTTTATAGCACAAAAATAACGCGATAAAATATTCGAACTCGTTGCAGTGATAAATTCGACATATTTCAATATTCAATATATTAGTTTGAGCCCGAATGGCCGGCTGATGAACACGAACAAGCTCACCAGTTTGAGGACAACGAAGAACAGGAATTTGTGTATATTGAGGATGAACCGCGGCGCGACAATCTTGAATGGTGAGTAATAAAATGTTGTATCATTCTAGAGCATTGTTTCGATCTCGAAAGAACGTTTGCCGTTTTTGAAGTTGATCACGTCTACACACACATACTTCAGATTTTAAAGTTTTTATTGTAAGATACAATCTTTTTTGAAATTTTGACATTTACTTTTCAAGATCCTTTCTTTTAACATATTCAGGTGTCAATGTGGTAAATGCCAAGAAATGGACAATAACGAGGAATGTTTATACTGCAAAGAGATTTTCGTTTGCATTTTTTTGATTGTTTGATTAAGGTTATTTTTTTATCACATTTCTATCAAAATACTTTCTCCACATGAATGATGTGATCGCTGTAGACATTCATTTTAGCGATATTCTTTTTGCTTGTTTTCACAGTATAATGACAAGTTGAAAATTGCAGAGATAATAATTGTTAAGACTCATAGGTATAAATTTTTAAGACAGTTATGATGCATAATATTTTTTCAAAACCAAAACTGGCAATGACTTTGTACGTCATTTCACAATCTTAATTGGTGGTGCATGAAATACATTGGGCCTGCATACATATGAAGCAAATTACTGTTTTAATGCTTTAATGCCGTCATTCACTCTGAAACGCACGCATGCCGAAGGAAATGTGCTTTCCATTGCAAAATTATTGATAACAAAAGGGCATTTGTCAATATTTTGCATGTAAAAGCACTCACGCCAAAGTCTCAGGCAAGCAAACAACAAAGTCGTCAGAGCAAATAGAACAAACAGTATAGAGTCATGGCAACGTTGCAAAGAATAAACCCAATTTTGAGGAAGTTGAATTGGAATCTTTATTTCAATGGTTGATTTGTGTTTAGCAAATTTAATTTGTGATGTTCTTCATTATTTTAGGCCAGTGTGAAGACTGTAAGTTATAGGTTATATGCCCACCAAGCTGTGGACATAAAGTCTACCTCTCTGAAGTGGAGGAGAGGCTTGTGGAGGGCTTGCCTTTCAAATGCCTTATTTGCTTGCAAGTCAAATAATTAATATGCTTGCTAAATATTCTAGTCGTTTTTTTATGTAATGTGCATAGCTTCATACTTTTGTTGTTTTGACGAAGAAGTCGACAGATTTCTAGAAGATTTTTTCAATATGTATTTTTATAATTCATTATCTTTTGAACATTGATAGAGTAGAACAGTCAGTAAGATTGATTTCTTTTTATTTCAGAGTGATCATTGCTAGTTTCTTTGAATAAAATGTTTTATTCGACGAAATTTATTTAAGAATATCAACGTTTCATGTTCTAATTTGTTCTTTTTTTATGTCAAAAATATTTTTCTCCAATCATTGCAAGTGTACTTAATAAGTTCTAGCCCATTTACCATCATGTAAACTATCAAAGAAGGATTTCTTGACTTCTTCCTCATCAATTTCTGATACTGCATCATCAAAGTATATCGATACTCTTTCATCGTTCGGCATCATCAAACATTTTGTCGCGTTTGAGATGGGTGATCAACACGACAGCCGTGACAGTCTTTTGCCGCAAGTTCATATATTTTAAAACCAATTTCAGTAGCATAGTACTTTAACAATTTATTTTGTATATTGCTGTAACGTTAATCTAAACATTGCTCTAATCTTCAAATTGAAAGGACGATTCTTTCACTTTCTTTGCTTGCTCAATAACAACTTTTGAAGCCATTTTCGTTTTAGTTAGACAAAAATTACCAAGTAACTTTAACTCAATAAAATTGTAACGTGTTTTTCGTTTTTATATTCGCATAGAAAACAAGAAAACGGATCTAATATTGCTTTAAGAATAGAAAACAATTGACAATTTTAATTCAGTTTTATCGTGTTTCAATTAATTATGTCATCCAGTAGCAACCTTCGTTCATTTTACGTGTTTGCGGTTTACACGCGCGCTCCCTGTTTACTTCTTAGGACTGGATACTAATTGACACGGTAAGAGCTCCGTTTACTTCCGGGACCATACCTGCACCACAACTACTCTTACCATTGATATATTATTACGAAAAATTATAACTTGCATTTTTGAAAATTTATAAGTTAGAGATGAGAGAAATCTATAAAATCTTTTAATTTGTTTGTTGAAAGTATCTGTTTCGAGCTAACACGAACGTCATCGTAATGTTCAGTGACGATTGTGGTTTGGTTAGGTTGAACCTAACATTCGCACAACGTTCTTAGAATGTTGAGCGTTTTTTTGACTTTCCTGTAACGTTGTGAGAACGTCATTATTTTACGTTTTCTACAAACGTTAATATAATCTAAAAGAACGTTGTTAATATACATTTAAAATGTGATGGATTTACATTCGCGAGAACTTTATAATTTATTATAGTGCACTAATTAAATTTATTTCCTTTTGAAAATAGTATTACCGAAGAGGCTGTGTTGTAAATGAATTCAACTAAACGTTCAAGGAATGCTATATCCAACGTTCTCAAAACATTTGCATCAAACGTTCAATTACACTTCTCAAAAACGTTTAGAGAGAGTTTGAACAACGTTTGGAGAACGTTTCGAGAACGTTCGACAACGTTTTGCTTTTAGCGTAATACCAGGCTGAAAATCAATTACGCGTTTTTCGTAAGTAGCTACTTACATCGCCATTCAATTATCAAGTATCAGGAAATTTAGCTTCTTTATATTTATTACTCGTACTACGGAAGTTAGGGAAATAATGAAACACTGTTCTCGAAACTCAGGTTTCCGAACTTACAGCCCACCACCTTTTCTATATTCACAAGAAGACTTGAACATTTTAAATAATTTAAAAAACGACAGAACTATCCTCATCACTAAACCTGACAAAGGTAATGGCATCGTAATACTTAACAAAGACGACGACACAAAGAAAATGGACACACTCTTTTCTGACACTACAAAGTTTCAACCTCTTAATGGAGATCCAGTCAAAGTCACTTTACAACGAGAAAATCAAGTGAAGTCTTTATTAAAAAAGTTGAAAGATGCCAAATCTATCGGCCAAGAAACTTACAAAGAACTTTACCCTACTGGTTCACGACTAGGTATATTGTATGGCCTTCCTAAAATACATAATTGTAACATCCCTCTCAGACCCATTCTTTCCTCCATTAATCACTATTCGTATAAACTAGCAAACTTTTTCATCCCACTCCTAAAACCCTTACTATAAGCAACCTCATCATCAAAGACTCTTTCTCCTTTGTTGAAGAAATCCTTAATTGCGATATCAACTCCAGTAACGTTGTCCTTGCTAGTTTTGATGTCGTATCCCTATTTACTAACATACCTGTTGACGAAACCATCCACATAATATCCAAAAGCATTTTTAACAACCACCAGTACTTCAACGGACTCACTGCAACAGAATTTGAAAAACTACTCTCTCTAGCTGTTAAGAACTGTCACTTTATCTTTAACGGGAAAATGTACCAGCAAATTGATGGTGTGGCTATGGGCAGTCCATTGGGCCCTCTCTTTGCTGATATATTCATGTCTTTTCACGAAAAATCCTGGCTTAATAAATGTCCTTCTTCATTCAAACCACTACTTTACCGACGCTACGTTGACAACTGTTTTATACTTTTTCATTCCTCCGATCACGTCCCTCTCTTTCTTGACTATCTGAACCGACAACACCCTAACATCACATTCACAGCTGAAGTCGAACCAAACAGAAAGCTCTAATTTCTGGACATTGATATCTCTCGTACTAATGGAAAATTCACCACTTCCGTCTACCGCAAACCTACTTTCACTGGCCACTTCACCAACTTCCACAGCTTCATCCCACTTACTTACAAACTTTCACTAGTCTCCTGCTTACTTCACCGCATCTTCAATCTTTGTTCTACTTACGAAAATTTTCATACACAACTCGAATTTACCAGAAAGTCACTCCCAAAAACGGTTTTCCTTCACGTATAATTGACCAAATCACACGTCGCTTCCTTAACAGCACCTTTGCCCCTAAACCACCTGTCTTGACTGCTCACAAAATGCCCATCTATTTCTGTCTTCCTTTCACCGGCATACACTCCCTTCAATTTCGCACACAAATCAATAGCCTTTGTGCTGCAGCCTTCCCACATATATCCATTAAATTTTTTTCCGCCCTTCTCAACGTATCTTTTCTTTCTTCCCCTTTAAGGACAAAATTCCCAAACCTCTGAGATCTGGTGTAGTCTATTTATTCAAGTGTCGAAGCTGCAACGCCTCGTATGTGGGTCAAACCACACGTCATCTACACATCAGATTTTCGGAGCACTTGGGAATATCCCCCCTTACAGGCAACCAAGTTTCCCACCCTGCATCATCAAGCATTCTTGCTCACATTAACGCAACTGGACACACCCCCAACTTAGACGACTTTAAAATAATCTCCTCTTCCAACGATACTTATGAACTCTCCATTCATGAAAGCCTTCTAATCAATAAATAGAAGCCTTCACTTAATGTGCAAGGAAACTCCATTCCACTTAACCTCTTTTAATTTCTCTTTATTTTACTTCCTAACTTCCTTATCATATATCCATTCGACACCGCTTCCTTTAGTAGCAATTTAACACCTTTTTGTAAATATAATATCTTGTCTTAACATCCTATTTAGTATTTGTCTGAAGATGTTTTGAGTAAAGACGAAACGTTACAATAAATTTAATTTTACAATTTGTCTTTTTTTTGGTCTATTTCTATGGCTATAATCAGAACTTTATGTTGGGCATTAATTTTTATCACACGAATTCGATTTCCGCTCGGCAAGTCTCTCGCTACTATTCTCGTACATTGTCCTTCCTCGTTTTAAATTTCATGATACTTCTTTCATTGTCTACACAAGCAAGCAGATTTCTAACTTACGGCGTATTTTCTGTGATTCGAGCTACATTAAAGTAAGTATCTAAACTTTATTTTATATTTGAAGGTATTTCTTTAAGCCTGTCCCATGTTTCCCTGGCTGAATTTTTCTTCGAGCCGTTGAAGCACATACATTTTACAATCCTATTGTGCATCAGCTGTTATAGTTTTTGTTTCATAATTAATATTAGACTGCTAGATTATCTTTTTCAAAACCGTTAAAGCAGTGGGTCTTGGTGAATGAATAATTGTGCGCTTTGAAAGAACTTTACGCAAGTCATATATAGAAAATACGAATCAAATTAGCATCGTGTTTAATTTTACGTATTTTTTGCTAAATTGAGCTTTTGTAACAAGTTTTACCAAACACTTTCGATTTTCAATGTTAGTAAATTCAATTTGTTTCAACATGGATTTTATTTATTTTATTATAGAATCGCAAAATGTCGAAGACTAAAAAATTTTACGTTAAAAATACTATACGTTGTAGTTGATAGTTATAAACAATTACAGTCATTACATTAAAATTTTTCTAGCATGTTTGTATTCTTCGCAATGTCTTGCCTTTTAAAAAAATATATATTCATGTAAATGTTTCAAAATACTATTTGTAATTCATGTGTGTATACAAAATGTTTCTTTTACAATAGTTATTTAACTTGGGTTTTTTTTTATACGGAACTACATAAATACATCTAAAAAAGTAGAGACTTTGTCGTTGTGACAAATCGGGAAATCGTTTTGAAGATTGCAAATACAATGGTGAATGGTAAAAGTAATAAAATAATAATTCTTAAAAGAACTCTTTTAAGTAAAAAGCACTCACCCAAAAGTTCTAAATGAAATGTTATAAAATTAACCGACACGATGCATTTCGGCAGACTACTGCATACTGGAATAAATATATAATTTTTATCAAACGAAAAGAAAAAGTATAATCATTAAAATGTAGATGTATTGGAAAATATGATTTATGGAGCATTCATTTAGCTGAAATAAAAGATTTGACAAGATATAACGACAATGTCCATAATTTGTTATGTGTAGTTGATGTTTATTCAAGATTTTCTTTCGTTCTATTATTGCAAAACAAATCTAGTTAACTCTTTGGCGACGGCAAAATATTATGCAACATCTTAGAGTTTTCCGGAAGTGATTGTTTCATCCAAAATATGTCATCAAGTTTTTTAAAACAAATCACATGATTAAATAGCCTGCAATAAGTGCTTGCTTTTAATATAAATTTACTACTTGAACATGTTTTGTAACGATTAAAAGCGTTATTTCTTGTTAGGTGTCCCTGCTAAGGTCAAAGGTTACGTCAAGGAAGTTTGTGCGTTCATGGTTTGTCATTTACTCCAATTACCCACATCCATCAATTACGCCAACTACCCACATCCATCAACAACCGAATTAACACACTCTCTTCTAGCAAAGACACCTTCGAAATGCCGCACCAATTTATAACCATCTATTAAACAAAGCAGCTTCCCCACCCAATTCATCTTCAAACCATCAAACATCTATGTAAACTCCACGTTCAACAGAAAACGTAACGTCACTTGGTTTAACCCACCATACAGCAAAAATGTAAAAACACATATCACCTACGACTTCCTACAACTTATCGACCAACATTTACCATCAAATAATATACTCTCCAAGATATCAATTCGCATAAGCTACAGCTGCGACGAAAATATGAAAGCTTTCATAACCAGACACAACAAGACTATTTTAAAAAGACTTAACCCAGAAACAACTCAGAACAAGAAAAACCCCACAAAGAGCTGTAACTGCAGGCAGAAACACCTATGCCCGATGAATGGCCATTGCCTGAAACACAACGTGACTTACAAAGCCGACGTGACAACGAGTGACAACAATGAAACAAAACTTATATAGGTGTGATTGCATGCGCTTTTAAGACACGATATAGAAACTACGTTAAATCAATTACGAACATTAAATACAGTAACGAGACAGAACTTTCTAAACACACGTGGACACTGAAAGAAAACAAACGAAACTAAAACATTAAATGGGACTTCATAATACAGTTTCCACCACCGAGCAGAAACCAAAAAACCTGCCGTTTTTGCCTAGAAGAAAGACTACTTATCCTAAAAGGATGTAAAAAACATTTAAATAAACATTCCAATATCTTTACTGCATGCCGTTGTGTAACCAAACACCTTCTAATCAATGTATTTAGTCAGTGAATAATAAATAATCTGTCAGTTGCCTTAAGATCACCCTACGACGTGAAACTACAAGTAGCTATCACTACACCGCAATGGTGACTCCTGCACTTGGGACACAAGACGTACGGTTACACATTTTTTGGATTGTATTGTAGAGTCACCAGAGTGCTTAACCCTTTAAAGGTGAGTTTTGCATATCGCAAACATGTTGAACGTCTTCATATGAGACTCTCAACACAATCATAGAGTGCTCAAACTACGGACGCACAATGAGCGTAATATAAAAATTGTATATACATTGTGCCCTCCCGGCTATCACCACACTGCAATGGTGACTCCTGCACTTGGGACACAGGACGTACAGTCACACATTGCATGGATTGTATTGTAGAGTCACCACAGTGCTTAAACCTATAAACGTGAGCTTTGCAATACCCTACACAAAGTGTATTACAATGTGCCCTCCCGGCTATCAATATAATCAAATGGTAACTCCTGCACTTGAGACACAGGATGTACGTTTACACATTGTGTGTATTGTACTGTAGAGTCACCAGAGTGCTAAAACTTATAAAGATGACCTTTGTATATATATGCAAATGTGCTATTACAGTTTTACAAATCATGAAAGTTTTGAATGTAACCTTTTGTGATATATCAGTATCATTGCAGAATTTTTGTTTACACTTTTAACTTCTCCTTCATGCATTTCATCAATGCTATCACATGTAACAGGGCAGTTGGAAGAATCTAAAATAAATAAAAATACATTGAAACTTAATGCTATGTATTGCCTTCACAATGACAGAGATAATTGCTGCTGCAACAAAGCAGAATAACAAAGTTTTGTACAACACGAATTATCAATTATTTCACATCAATTGAACGGCACTTAAAAAGAACTAACCAGCAATGTTCTGAGAGATCTATAGGGCATGCTAACGATTTTGATTTTATCTACTATGTACATATATAAGTAAGTTACATTTTACTAACCTTAAAAAAATGAAACGTTGTTTGTGATCCTTCTGCAACATCTTGGGATTTCGCCATACCATTGTGTTTATTTGAATTGTGCTTCAAAAAATTATCAGCATTCATTTCTGCACCACAATCTTTACATTTAACCTTTCGTCTATAAATTTGTGTGCGTTGGATTTTGTTGCGCGGAGCTCCTGAATCACCTTTAATTCTAGTTGCGCCTCCATCTTACGAGAAATTTCAATTAAATTAGAAATATATCTGAGTAAACATCAAAAATATGACAGCATACAATGAACTCACAACTCATCTTCGGTAATTGTGGGCCTACAAACTTAAGTAACTATACTTAAACCTCCACTGGAAAATAGTCTTTCTCGCCCAATATACAAAACCGCGTATAATTTGATGAAAGTATCGGATTAAAGCACATTTCCCAGCATTCGACAATGCAAAAATTAGCATTAGCATGTTTCTTACATTTGCAATCGTTGCATCCAGCGGAGTCTGTTTTTCGGAATACTTCATCTAACACATCTCACAGACACATTGCACTGTAGAATTAAGCCAAAACCGTCAAAAATGAAGGTTTATCATTTCCACTTAGTAATCATTAAGTTGTTTTCGATGGTATGGCAATTTTTCTATTTCCTGAACTCTGCCCTGGCACTTGACGGCAATATGCCTTGCAAAAACACTGTTTTCAGCAATTAGGGGGGGGGGTCACACTTCCCACACACCCCCAACAGTTACGCCCATGTCAATAATGCCATACACACATCTTCAAAGTCAATCAAATTGCGGTGGTGAAAAGGCCATCGGTAAGTGTCCAAATACAAACGCATAAACAAAAGGAACAAGCAAAAGCAAGAGCTGCTTTTTTAAGTTATTCACTTCAACAACATTTTTAATGCAACAAGGCTTCGCATTTCGTGACTAAGATAAAATTGATGGAAGCTATTTACAGCTCGTAAAGCTTAGGACGGAAGAAGCTCCTCATTTGCAAACATACTTGACAAAAACAAAAATAATTTTTAGCCTTTTAAACCGAACGACATGATTGAAATATTTAGTCGCTCAAGTTATATGGATAAATACTAGTGACATTGAACAGAATGAATGTCACGCTGTAACTGCTGATGGAGCACAGGACTTAAATGGTAATGAACAAAAGTCCTTCTGTGAGAGGCACGTGGACTGAGATCTTATTTTACGCAAAAATTTTATTGGTCTGTATGAAGTTCTTAATACTACAATGACGCTTTTGCCGTACGCTCATTGATGTCATGGCTCGATGTGGATTATCCATAAGCAACATAAGTGCTCAAACAAATGATAAGGAATCAAACATGAGTGGTTGTTAATATAAGATGTAAGGTAATGGGGGAAAAGCAACAACCTCTAGCACTCTTTTTTCACTGCACATCCTGTCAGTTAATTCGAGATGTTCTGCAGTGGTTAAATGAGCTAGGTGTGTTTATAAAGAAATCTGGACAATACAAAGCGATATTAAGGGGAATTTGTAAATTAACAGTGTGGGACAATTTGCATCATCCAACTGCCATCAACCCCCTTTGTGCTACCATGTGGTTATGCAGACTAGAAACCATACATTCAGCCTTGAATCAGTATCCTGTTGGTTTTCAGTGTTTGGAAGAAAGGACGCCTTGAATGACAGAAACTGCAACCAAAGCAAACGGTCTTCTTTCCCCACATTGTTAATTCACTTTCTAAAAAAGTCCAAGATTGGAAATCGCCATCATACTAAGCAAGAAAGCGACCGAATTTTTTTCCAATCCACATTTAAAACACCTGAGGAATCCATAACATACATCGCATCAAACATAACAAGATTCTACTCTTAAAACGAAACTGAATATCCCCAACCATTTTGCCAAGAAAATGTATCGTAAGTGCTCTCTTGAAATATTGAGAAAAGGAATTAGCTGGAATAATCTTGTGATGCATTTGTCGGGATGCTGTTCGTCATCCTTTTCTTCCTCATGGTATACCAAAGTATTTTAAAATTTTATTTTTATGCTCTCCTACATGCTGAAATGCTTGGTTCGACATTTAGAAAAAATTTAAGAAAATTGCCACCTGAAATGTAATTTTAACATAACATGATGTCTTATGTACTATGTTTGTTTATCAAAATCTTCGTGTAACTCATGCACCGCAACGCACGAAGCACATGACATCGTAAATCAGGAGTATCTTTGGTGAGGGTTGCGATCCGATACATATGATGCTGAGAGCAAGTTTTGTCGAACTAAAAGAAGTTTTTAATTTCACAAAAATGCTAAATTTTATTGCAATTAAGTGTATAGGCCCTTTTCAAATTCACTGATACAGTTTCTTTTCTTGTAACCTTTCTTAAGCGCGGGCCACACTATCGTCGAAATGCAACGAGTTTCGTGACGAGTCGCTCGTCAACGAGAAAATATGACGATATGGCCGAATTCGTCGCCGTTGAGCATGCACACCGAAATCGTCAACGAGTGACGAGTAATTGTTGCATATCTACTCTGATTGGACAAAAAAAATCACATGACTAATGTTTGCTTTCACTGTGCTGTGGCAAAATGGCGGATTGGCAAGAAATATTAATTGAGCTAGTGAGAGAGAGGCGATGTTTGTGGGACAAATTTCATCCTGACTATAAAGATACACGCAATATAAAGAAAAATAATTGGAAAGATGTTGCTCGGGAACTGAAATTTGCAACCAATATTGATCATGCAGGTAAAGTTTTAAATATTTTGTTATGATTGAATGTTATATGCAGTGCGGTGTTTGAAATTAAATGAAGATATGATCTTCGCACTTTGCTGGGCAATTTAAGCAATTGTCTCATGAACATGAAAAATTCAGGTGACTCAACGGGATTCGAATGATTAATAGAATTATACTCGCAGTATTATGTCGAATGTTTGTTAAGTTTTCCATCTTTTTAAAAGATGAAGATGTGAAGAAAAAGTGGGCTAACCTTCGTGACACGTTTCACCAGCAAAGACGGTCATATGAGGCAAAGCTTGCAAGTGGTGCTCCAGCAGTGGAGGAGCCAGTATGGAAATGGTGGAAGTGTTTCCAATGGTTACATGATGTCACAAAACAAAACACGTAAGTCAGATACATATTCTCTTTTGCCTTCCATAATTTCTTTCGTCGCCATAAAATATTTATTTATTTCACGAGTAAATTTGCGTTCTCAGGAGCAGTTCATTTTCCAATTTACCTGAAATTGAGCCTCGAGTTTCATCACCATGCAGCCATGCAAGTGATCAAACAAGTTCACCATATATTGCTGAATCGGATGATATGGAGGACCAGGAAGAAACGTCCAGTGTCTCTGCTTGTAATTCCACCTGTAATTCAACCTTCACACCAAAGAGATCAAGCAAAAGAAACGCAGTAATGTTGAGAGAGAAAATGCATTGCTGCTTAAAGAGTTGGCATCTGTTAACTCTGAACTTTCTAGCATGTCACAGATGGAGCCTAATGATGACTTACACCATTTTGCCATGTCAATAGCTGGTAAAATGCGGAAAAGGAGCGAATATCGACAAGCTGTGGCACGAAAAGAAATTGAAAATATTTTATTTCAAATTCAATTTACACCTTCACAAACACACGGTCCCAATTTTACCTAAAGCCAACCCACAACTGTTACTAATACTACTGATCAGACTATCCAGTCTGTTGCACCAGATAATGCACTTACTTACATCAACCTAGGTTAATTATTTAAAAAAAAATTTGGTATCTGTAGTTTTTCTTTTTTAATATCTTATGTCATCATTAAGCACACAACTATTTTAATGTTTTACTAACAGTTTATTTTCCTATTATTATACTTATTATATATCTTTACAACATATATAAAGTTATTTCTGCTTCAAAAACAAATGACCATATCTATTAAAACAAAATCCTACAAAAGATAATATCCACTATCGACGATTTATATGCTTCCACTGCCATTCCACAGAACCTTCAGAACTTATAAAATATGTGCAAAGTTTTTATCTACTTTGACTGGCTTGTTGAGTAGCACTGCGACTGTTGTAGCCAGTGGTAGAGGTCTGATTAGGTGCATTTGTCCTCCAGAAACCCTCTGTTATGTTGCCAGCTTCATTAACAGAATCTAAAAACCCTGGAGGAGTATAGTTGAGATCATTCTTAACACGCAGGAAGTTGTGTAGAACACAGATGGCTTTAACTAATGAAATAGCTTTTGAATGTTCTGCAATGATGGGTTTGAATAATATTCTCCATCTGTGAGACATGATACCTACAAGGAAACAAACATGTGTCATTCATAATAAGTTTAATATTACATAAAACAATTCACAAAATGAGTTAAACTTACCAAATGCATTCTCTACCACTCTCCTAGCACGTGACAAACGATAATTAAATATCCGGCGTGAATCATTGTCCAGTGACCAGCCAGGAAAAGGACGCATCAGGTATGGGCGCAATGGGAATGCCTCATCTCCTACAAACATGTAGGGCAATGCTTCGCCTGATTCAAT